GCTGCACGGCCCTGGGAGCGGGCCATAGCGTGCGTATACCAAGTAACCCTCATGCACGAGGGAGGGGATGCCCATGCCTGTCCATCGACAAGGTTGGGTATGCCAGAATACGGCACGAACAACGGGTGCCCACTCCTGCCCATCGACAGGGGTGGGCACCCAAGTCGGCACGGCGCCTACATGAGACCGACGAAGTCGAGGGCTGCCGCGCTCGCAGCGGCAGCGGGGCCGTCGAACGGCCACTGAAGCGGGCCAAAAACAACCAGTGGCGCGCCAGCCGGAGCTAACTTGACGCCACCTGCTTGCCCGACCAATGAACTTCTGGTTGTGTCCATAGGTCGGAACACTGCCTCCTAAGAAATCGCGCCTCGTTGGCGCGGGGTGCCGCGCCTGCAGCGGCAGCGTGACCGACTCGGGGCCACCTAAGCAGGCCAATGATGAGCTTGAAAATGGATGCCGCCGCCTGTGCATCGGCAGGCACAGGCATCCCAGCTCGCACCTTGCGGAGGGTCTCGAGAAGACCCCGCGGCGGTGCAGTGGGGGCCTGCGCGCAGGCCCCCATGCCACTGTCGCCCCTCTGTTCACTCCACGGGAGGCTCGCCCGGGGTACCCATCAGAAGTGGAAGTCCCACGACCAGCGGCGCCCCGTGCGTCCCCAGGCGATACGCCACCCCGAGGAGTATAGAACAGATTTGGCACGGGAGGAGGAGGAACGGGAGGAAACGATAAAAAGATGGGTGCGGGAGGATAGGGGAGTGGAGCTAGAAGGTAGGTGACGGTGGAGCAGTGGAACGGTGGAGTGAGTAAGTATTGAAGTTGTCGGTTGTTGTGTTGCGTTTCGGTTGCTCAGTGTGGTTTGTTGGTTTTTCAGTCATGGATGCTTGGTTCGTTTGTTTTGTAGTTATTTGCTCCTTGTGTGCACGCTTGGTTTCCCACCACCCACATAAAGGAGGCTACCATTGGTAATTCCTCTGCCAAAGGAATCGACGCGTGAACCCTCCAAAGAAGGAGTCGATTTGCAACCCCCCAGAGGAGAAGGAGGGTAGGGAGGAGGAGCAGCAGGAGGAGGTGGGGGAACAGGAGGATGAAGAGCTCTAAGGGTTCTGATGATGCGGGCGGTTCTCCTTCCGCCCTTATCGCGCAGGCCGAGAGCGCGGGCCGATGCCCGCGCAAGTTTTTCAAGCAGCGCCCAGCGGCGGCGACCCTCCGCAGGCGGAAAACGGTCCCCATATGCCCAGAGAAAAGAAAAACAAAACGAACCCCCGCGGAACGACCCCCGAGACAGGGCAGAACCCGCCGCGGCGACGAGGATACCAGCCTAACGGCGCCGCAATTGACGGCTGGCCTACAGTGGAAGCCCATGCCGAAATTAGCTTGGCGAAGGACCCAACCATATGCAGTTGTGAGAACAGTCTTTGTGAGCAACGCATTCGGTGGAGCTCCCTATGGGGCCGCGAAACGCTGTGCTGGGTGTGGCGGACGCATGCGCCCCCCCCACTGGGGCCTCCGGTGGAGCTCCCCATGGGGCCACGAAACGCTGTGCTGGGTGTGGCGGACGCATGCGCCCCCCTCCACTGGGGCCTTCGGTGGAGCTCCCTGATAAGCCACGAAACGCCGTGCTGGGTGTGGCGGACGCATGCGCCCCCCCCACTGGGGCCTCCGGTGGAGCTCCCTATGGGGCCACGAAACGCTGTGCTGGGTGTGGCGGGCGCATGCGCCCCCCCCACTGGGGCCTTCGGTGGAGCTCCCTATGGGGCCACGAAACGCTGTGCTGGGAAAACGCCGTGCTGGGTGTGGCGGGCGCATGCGCCCCCCCCACACACTGGGACCTTCGGTGGAGCTCCCTATGGGGCCACGAAACGCTGTGCTGGTGTGGCGGACGCATGCGCCCCCCCCCCCCCACACTGGGGCCTTCGGTGGAGCTCCCTATGGGGCCACGAAACGCTGTGCTGGGTGTGGCGGACGCATGCGCCCCTCTCCATTGGGGCCTTCGGTGGAGCTCCCTATGGGGCCACCAAACACCGTGCTGGGTATAGCGGACGCATGCGCCCCACCCCACTGGGACCTTCGGTGGAGCTCCCTATGGGGCCACGAAGCGCTGTGCTGGATGTGGCGGACGCATGCGCCCCCCCCCACTGGGGCCTTCGGTGGAGCTCCCTGATAAGCCACGAAACGCTATGCTAGGTGTGGCGGGCGCATGCGCCCCCTCTCCACTGGGGCCTCCGGTGGAGCTCCCTATGGACCTTCGGTGGAGCTCCCTGATAAGCCACGAAACGCTGTGCTGGGTGTGGCGGACGCATGCGCCCCCCCCCCTACTGGGGCCGTCGGTGGAGCTCCCTATGGGGCCACGAAACGCTGTGCTGGGTGTGGCGGACGCATGCGGGCTGTGCCACTAGGACCTTCGGTGGCTCCCTATGGGCCACGAAACGAGTGAGAGGTGTGCCGAGAGCAAAGGCAAGGAGGGGGAGGAGGGAGGAGGGGGAGGAGGGAGGAGGGAGGAGGGAGGAGGGAGGAGGGGGAGGAGGAAAGAAGGAAGGAGGAGAGACGCGGGGCACCGTCTCTTCAAAACGAGGACCCAACACAGGATGGTTGGGAAAAACACCCTGCTTACCTCCAGGGTGCCCTGGGTGTCTTGGGTTTCGATGGTTCTACGACGGAAAGCGTAGCGTCCCCGCACCACAAATCCATGGACGTCCTGGGGTCGCAGGGTTGGGCTTCTTGTGGAAGGTTTCTTGTGGTCGAGCTCCTGCTGTACGCGCCCGTCGTCGGGAGGCGGAAGCCCTCATCAGTCAGCAGCTCCCTCAAGTCTGCGGCGGCGAGCCGCTCCTTGCCAGGGCGAGGAGCTCCAGCGTGCCGAAGCTCTCGCCAGAGGACTCGCCGCCGTGCTTCTTGCGCTTGCCGATGCCCTTGGACTTGCCGCTGGGGATGCAGAATGCGTCCTCCGCAGGCGGTCCACGAACAGCATCAGGCACGACGGCACGTATCTCAGGGTGTTCACGACGTTCGTCCACTCCATCAGGCGCAGCGTTGCCAACCAGCCTCCGACACGCCATGAGGAAGAAGTCTTTGAGGTCTCTGCTGTAGTACTCGTCGGAGGAGCCAGCGTCCTTGATGAAGTACTCCTCAGGTTTTACTGGCTCGACCAGCGGTTGCGCTTCCGAGGTGGTGACGCCTCCGCAGTGTCCGACTCCAGTTGGCCATTGAGGAGCATCAACAGCAGCACGCGCCCATGCGCCAGCTCCAACGCGTACGAACCATCATTGCCCATCTCATGGAAGATGCTCGGGCAGCTGCAGCTCCACATTCCTCTGGAGGTCAGCAGACTCCGTCTCTGGGCACGCGAGGCCATGCTCTGCCCACGCTTGCTCCAACTGCAGGAGGTCCATGAAGGCCGTGCCAGACTTCACCATGAGCGTCTCCTGCGCCAGGCTCTCGAGTCCCAGCACGGCAGAAAGCTGGTCAAGCTTTTTTGTTCTTTCAGCTGCTGCAGGCTCTGTAGCACCAAGATGCCCTCCGGCGCCAGGTGCTGGCAGCTCTCCACCATGCAGCATTTCCTGAAGCCGAAGATGACGAAAGTGCATGGGGGCACGCCAATTTCTGGACGTTCATCGCCTCCTCCGCGTTCTTCTTCTTCGGCGTGACCTCGCCCCGCTGCTCCGTCACGCCCGTCGTCAAGGCGTCCTGCAACGGCCGCTTCGACTGACGCAGTGGAGGCGTCCGTGGAACTCGCAGCGGGGAGTGCCCCCTCTTGCTTCCCCACTCGGTGAGGGTCGGGAGGCATTTGATCTCTTGCCGAGCCGATTTGACCATCTCGATCTGGCGACGCGGGGTGATGGAAGACCCGAGGAACTCCAAGCCCGGCCATCTCCTCCTTGTTGCCAACTGGACTGGTTCCAGAAGCCGACAGCGTCATGAACCAGAGTGTTGGCGTGGACCGCACCAAGGCCCTCCAGGATGTCCCGGGCGCGGCCGCCGAACTCCGCCGAGAGCAGGCTGGCGCCGACAAAGAGCTGCACCTGCATCAGGCCGCCGCCGCAGAAAGAGGAGGAGCAGAAGGACGATGAGAAGGACTTCAGATTCCTTCTCACCATCGCCTGCCTCTCATCCTTTCTCTCTCTCTCTCTCTCTCGCTCTCCTTCTCTCCTCGCCTTGAAATGGCCCAACGAGGGTTCCGAAGAAGAAACACAAGACGAAGAGGAAGAGAGAGGTATGATCACAAGAGGCAACCTCTTGACCTTCGTCTCCCTCTGCGCAGTTTTTCAATGGGCGCGGGGATCTAGCAGGACCCGGTGGAATGAATCGTGAAGGCCTTACTGCCGGTACCGCCGACCCTGAAGACGACGACGACGAGGACGACGAGGAGGAGGTGGGAAGGAGGAGCAGGAGAAGGAGGCGGACGACGACGTGGTGGAGGAGGAGGAGGAGCAGGAGCAGGGGCTGGGGAATGACGGGGGGAGAATGGGCAGGCAGTAGGAGGACGAGGAGAAGGCTTCAGGTCGAAGGAGCAGGAGAATAAGGAGGACGCGAAGGAGGGGGAGGAGGAGGTGCAGGAGGAGGGGGAGTCTGGGAAGGAAGATGTTGGGGTAAGGTTTGGGCCTCTGGTGGAGCCTCTGGTGGGCAATTTGTGGACGTTTTCGGAGACTCTTGGGGGGCCTCTTGAGAGCCTCTTGGGGGCCTCCGGGGGCTTCCTGGGGGCTTCTTGGGGCGGCGCTGGCAGCGGAGGGCCTGGCGGAAGTGAGGACTGCCCCCCCCCCCCCCGAGAGGGGTCGGCGCTGGCGCACCAAGGGTTTGCGGAGCTGGCCTCGCCGGGCTTGCTGCAAGGCTCTGCTGTGATGAGGTCTCAGCTCCCCCCTCCGCCAGCTCCTCCTGCTTCGCCTCCTCGAGCTGCCATGCACGCGCCACTATGCTCCGCTGCGCCCGTCTGGGCAATCCAGAAGTCCTCTTCATCCCGTCCAGCGAGGGCAATTGCATTCGGCTGCCCTCGTCTTTGCCGCGCACAGGAGAAGCATGCGGAGTTCGTGATCGTGCAGAACGCGTTCGACGAGGACCAGTTTGGACAGGCGATCTAGGTTGTTGCGAAAGCGAAATTTCCCAGGCGTGCTTTGTTGTCCATGGCTTCTCATCGGCTGAAGCCTCGAGGATTGCCACCGGTTCACCGCGTAGAGAGACAGCAGGTACAGGAGGGGAGCATGAGTTATAGGTGTCAGGTTGATTCGAAATGCTTGGCCACGTGGGGCAATCGATCCACCTTCCGTCACAGGTCAGACGCCCTGCCTCCTTCCAAGTGCCTTCTCCTCCCTCAGTAATACCACCTCCACCTTGCTTCCAGTCCCCAGGGTCGTTCAAATTCTGCGCTGGGTAAGGAAAACTTCGTCATCGGCTACTTCGAGCTATCGATCCACATTCCACTACCTCTCTGAGCTGGGAAGCCAGGTGGTGCCAGAGGTGTTTTGTCCACAGGCAACGCCAGCCAAGGAGGCCCAGCTGGCCTCCAGGGTCCTAGCTCCGCTCTCTGGAGGCCGTTCGGGACGACTCCGACGCGCCTGGCACGCCCTCGACGAAGCGCAGCTGATGGACACCGCCCTGGGCCCCGAAAACCTCGGACAACGTCCGACCACGGCCCAAAACCCACGAGACCGCCGGAGACCGCCCCTTGGCCACCCCGGCTGGATTCTATACCCCACTTGGATGGGCTATACCCCGGCTTATCGGGAAGTTACCTTGGTATATCGGGTTTAATCTCGGTTGGAGCTTTCAACACCCCCTATCAAATCCCCCGCGCACGCTCCGCCCCATCCCCCCCCCCCCAGGGGCCTCCTCGGCACTGCCGCCTCCGACCCTCCCACCGCTTCCCCCCGAGGCCGCCTGCCCTCGGCACACCCCCAGGGGGGGGAGACCTCCCCCCTCTCAGCGCTCCTCCGCCTGCTCCGCCTGCTCCGCCTGCTCTGCTCCTCCGCCTGCTCCTGCTCGCTCCCCCGCCTCCTCCGCTCCGCCTGCTCCGCCTGCTCCGCGATCCGATGTGATGCTGAGGTTCGTCGCTGAAGCTCCGCGCCACCTCAGCGATCCTCCGCCTGCTCCGCAGCGGACATGAAGAAAAACGATGGAAGGAGCACGTCGCCGCGCCGTTTGCCGTGGGGTCTTTGCCGCGGTGCCGGCCTGGTCTGCCTGGGGCGCGTGGCACAGGGTTTGCCGTGGGTTTGCCGTGGTGTCGGCGTCGTCCACCTGGGCGCGTCGAGAACAGACGGCGCGGCGACGCGGCGCGAACTGCTTGATCTGAGGCTCTAGGGCTGAGGCCCTTCCTCCAGTAGCAAGTCATGGGAGCCTTGTATGCCTTCGCACTTCCATCGTTAGAGTGCGCTGGCGTCGCTGAGCGTCTGATTATCGATGAGATAGCGCCGATTCAGCGTCGATTCCGCGCCTACCAGCGTCGATTCGCACCGATCGGCGCCGACTCGCAAGAGCCCACAAGATGGCACCGGTGGCTCCCGCGAGCTGCGGGAGGAAGCCTCCGCGCCGCCCTGCCCGGGGCTGGATCCCCGGATCCGATGGCAGCTCGCCCGCGCCCCCGCCTCGCCCCACGCGGCGCCTGCCCGCGCGTGCTCCGCCGCCCGCTGCCTGCAGGGGCGGCCCAGGCGAGCCCCGGCAGGCCATTCCCCCCTCCATGGCGTCCCCCGCGCCTCGCCCCGAGACGTGCGTGCGCGGCCGGAGGGGAGCTCGAAGGGCGAGAGTGGCGTCACGGGAGGGGACGGTTTGCGAGGGGTCGGTCCGGCCGCGCCCGAGTTTTTTTTCACGCCTCGCCTTCGGATGGCTGGCGCGGGCGCAGGGCCATCGGCACTGGCCACTGCGTACAGCACAAGGCGAGGTCTTCGGGGCTCCTTGGGGCTCCAGGAGTCCAGGAAACCGGCTCGGGCATCCAGAAGTTATCCAAAACATGTCCTCAGCCCCCCATGAGAGGTATACGAACAAAAACTGGTGCTTTGTTTCAAAAAGAAAAATGCGCAGCTCGCGCGTGAAAGACACTTCCCGTGTAGGCCCGTTTGCGCTGGTTTCCCGGTTTGCATGGCGACCTTTGGATTCGCGATGTGGCCGTGTCACCCGTGGTGATTTGCGGGAGGGAGAGATAGAGAGAGAGAGAGAAAACAAAAAACAAAAAAAACAACAAAACAAAACAAAAAAAAAAAAAAAAAAAATGCAACAAAAAAGCTTACATCGATGGGCAATAACTCACTGTCTGCTGGTGGCTCTGCAGTGCACAGTGCTGCTGGAGGAGCTCGAGGGGCACATCTCGTGCGCACTCCCCTCGAGACTCCGAGCACGCTTGGCCCCCGGGAGGCTCCCCGAAGAGCCCGACGAGCCCGCCTGGACCTCCCGGAGGGCTCGCCCCGCGCGGTGCCGCGCGCGGCCTGCCCTGTCCCCACCGGGGGCCCCGGGGGCACGGCAGAGGAAGCCAAGGGGGCCAGCGAGCACGCTCGCGCCGGGCTGCCGGGGCGCTTTGTCGGGCGGCTGCGTGGATCGTTGCGTGATTAGGGGAACAAAAAGTGGCATAGACATAAAAACTCGGAGGTCCGCGCGGATTTCTCAGATCGGCGCTGGACCCCCCTCCCTGGCGCGCGGAGCGCGCCAGGGGCGGCGCCGGAGGCGCCGCCGGGCGGCCCCAGCGCCGATCCGAGAAATCCACGCGGACCTCCGAGTTTTTATATTTATGCCACTTCTTGTTCCCCTAGTGATGTCCGACCCCGAGCCAAGCCTCCGCAGAGGCGAGCGAGCACGCTCGCCTCGGGCTTCGGGGCGCGCGGCTGCTCGGATCGCTGCGCGACATCCCACCCGGAGCCGGGCCTCCGGGTCGGCTCTGGAGGTCGCCGCGGCGACCGCGGCGGCCACAAAGCGGGGCGAGGCCTCTGTCGTGGCATGCCCTGTCCCAGCCCGCCCCCCGCTCTGCGATGCGGACGTGGTGCACAGGTAAGCACGCAGCGACAGAGGCTCGTGTCCAGCATGGGCGGCCCCTGCCTCTCTGGCTTCCGGGTCGCCCACCACGCAGCCGTCGCAGGGCCCCACGCGCGGCCCGCTCGATCGCGGGGCCCCGCCGCGCAGCCGGGCGGGCGGAGAGAGGTGGGTGCGCTGGCCGGAGCAGCGGCCGGCGCCCACCCAGATCGGGGGCTGCTGGGGTCGGGGCTCGAGAGACGGGGGGTCAACGCAAACGGGGGTCAGCCAGGGTCGGTTTGCGGAAGATTCTGAGAGATCGTTCGTTTTGGTGACTACTATTGTTGTAACGTGTCAGGGCTCTAGCTGTTACACAGCTCTCGCAGGGTGCCCAACAAGGCAAAAGAACTTGCGCTGGCACGCAAACACCTTCAATGTTTGGTCACCCCCGAGCCGCTCCGAAGGCACTTCCAGAGTGCCTTCGGCGCGCGCGACCGTGCGGGGCGCCGTTCGGCGCTTTTGCGGCGCCGCCCGATCTTGCAGGATCCTGCAGGGCCGGGGTCGCGTTGACCCCGGCTCGGGTGCAGGATCCTGCAGGGTCTTGCAGGATCCTTCGCGCTGGCCCGGACTTGGGTGCAGGGTTTTGCGGGACTTTGCAGGATCTTGCAAGGCCTGACTGACCCGGGTCTGGATTGACCCGGGTCCGAAGATCCCCGACGGGGGTGGGCGTCTCACAGGGAGCGCGACGGTTTGTTCTTGCAGCCGCTCGGGGGTCTGCGGTGGCCCAGCGCCGGCTCCGGCCGGCAAGAAGGGCGGGCAAGGTTTGATGGCGCGGGGGTCGGGAAGGTGTCTTGCCTGCCTCCAAGATTGGTCCACATTCCGGGCCTGGGAGGGGCCCAGAGTTGCCGTGCTACCCGCTGTCGCTCCTGCGAGCAGCGCCGACGTCGAGCCGATATTCCCGCGCGCATGGGCGCGGCGACGTCACACGCGGAGCATGGACTGCGGACGCGGGCGCGTGTTTCAATGACAGCGTGCGTTTCACGATTGCCCCCATTCGTCGTCTTTCGGAGTCTTCCAGGGGAAGGCGGACACTGGTTGATTGAGCATCCAGTCAGTATGAACCTTTTTTTTGCCAGGGTTCAGGCGCCACCGCTTTCACATCAATATTGTGTAGTTGCTTGTCACGGCCTCCCCTTGAAAGGCTCTCTCGCTACCCCTCCCTCCCAACAACACTTCTCCCTCCTCACCACTATCCTCTCCTGCTCCGCATCCTCATCATCATTTCCCCTTCTCTACTCTCTCCCCCTGCCCTGTGCTCTCCGATCATCTACTGTCCTCTGCCGGCCTCCTCTCCCCTTTTCCTTCTCCTGTCTCCCCTCTTGCTTCCCCCTCTTTCTCTCCATCATGTTATCCACGCCATGCCTCTGTCCTCTCTGCTCGGTCTCGCATGGAATGCTTGAGTCGGGCACCACCCGCCCCCAAACAACCATGCACGCCTTCGTCCACCTCCGCATTATCTTCCTCTTTTGCCCGCTCTTCCACCCTCCTCTCTTCCTCTCTCCCCCTTCCCCATCATGTCATCCAGCCTCCTTTTACTACGAAGGAGCTTTTGCAGCGAACCATGAACTTCTTGAAGAGGAAGCGCCCGCAGCCAGCGAAGATGAAGAACGAAGGTGGTGGCGACTCGGACGACGAAAGGAAGGCGCGCTACGGAGCACAGTGTTAGGATTGCTCGTAACTTGTTGTGTCCCCACAGTCCTTTCTGCATTCCAATACGCATGCATGCCAGTCTGTCATCTGCTGGTGGCCATCTCGCATTGCCTGTCCTGTCAGCATTGCTTACGTGCTTTCGTCCACCGTCTGACATGTTCCTTTTCGTCATGTGTATCTAAATTCATGTGTGTGTCTACGCTTACGCTTTCTTTTTATGCAAACACAACATAGATTCACATTCAATGTCGAATTACATGAAACCCCCACCAAACAAACAAACAGAAAACCGTCTCCCTGGGATCCCCAGCCCCAGTGAACCCCTGAACGCTTTTGCAGCGGGTCTCCCTGGCACGTCTGGCCTACTGGACGTCCCTGATTGGTCTAGCCAGCGGACCCAAAGCTTTCAGGAGGGTGGCCAAACAGCCCCACGAGAGCCCCGAGCGGCCCCAGACACCCACCAAGCGCCCCAAGACGGCCCAAAGAACACCCCAAAGAGGCCCTCCCAACTAAAAAATGGATTTCCCCATGATTGTTGTATGAGCTTTCCCAATCATCCTGTGGTATTGGGTTCTCTTTTAGAATACGCATTGCCCCGCGTGTCCTTCCTTCCTTCCTTCCTCCCTCCCTTCCTCCCTCCCTCCCTCCCTCCTCCCCCTCCCCCCTCATCCCCATCCCTGCCTCCGCCCTCCGCATGCCCGTTTCGGCACACACACACACACACACACACACACACACCTCGCACGCTTCGTGGCCTCATAGGGGGCTCCGCATAAGGCCCCAGAGGCACCGTCCACATGTGGGCGCCACGCTCGTTTCGGCACACCCCTCACACGTTTCGTGGCCTCTTAGGGCGCTCCACATTAAGCCCTAGTGGCACTGTCCACATGTGGGTGTCACGCCCGTTTCGGCTCACCCCTCACCCGGTTTGTGGCCCCACGGGGAGCTCCATTGAAGGCCCCAGACGCACCGTCCACGTGTGGGGCGTCACACCCGTTTCGGCACACCCCTCAAGCGCTTCGTGGCCCCATAAGGAACTCCACCAAAGGCCCGAGTGGCACCGTCCACATGTGGGCGTCACGCCCGCTTCGGCTCACTTCTCACACGCTGCGTGACCCCATGCGGAACTCCACCAAAGGCCCTAGTGACACCGTCCACATGTGGGCGTCACGCCCGTTTCGGCTCACCCCTGACACGCTTCGTGGCCCTAGAGGGCGCTCCACCGAAGGACCCAGGAGCACCGTCCACACGTGAGCGGCACGCCCATTTCGGCATACCCTTCACCCTTCACTTCGCCAATTTCGGCATACACTCACAAATGTTAGGAGGCGACAGGGGCGGTGCATTACACTTGTGGACATCGACGACGACAAGTTCGAAATTCTCAGCGCCGAGGAGAGCACCAAGTACCTGGGTCGCAAGCTGACGTTGAACGACTTCCACCACACCGAGCTCACCAACAGACTTGCAATGGGGTGGCGCAAATTCAACCAGTGCCGCAACGAGCTCACAAACAGCCGGTACCCCCTTCGCAGCAGACTCAGGCTCTCCAGCGGGGCGGTGACGCCAACGGTCACGTATGGTTGCGCAACGTGGACTCTCACCAAAGACATGATCCTGACATTCCGACGCACCCAAACGACGCATGTTACAACTAATTGTCAATACTTCGAGGCACCGACAGAGACAACCCCACACCAGCACCGACGAAAACACAACCAACCCCGACATTGAACAGCATGACGACAGCACAAGTAACGACAGCAAGTCCAGCATCAGACAGCACCTAGACTTTGACGACGTCGACGACGAATCCGATTTTGAATCCTGGGACAATTTCATTTGCAGGGCTGCCCACGCCGCCTCAGACCTTACGACGCGCGCACATGTGGAGGAATGAGTTACAACATTTCACAAGCGTAAGTGGAGATGGGCTGGGCGAGCTGCTACACAACAACACAATTGGGTCCGACTGGCGGCGGCATGGGAACCTGTTATCCATGACCCCCGGGCAGCACGACGCCGACAAGGCGGGCAGCGAAAACGGTGGAGTGACGGCATCACAGAATTTCTACAGAAGGCTTCGGTTGGAAGCACACCCGGCACATGGCTACAGAGTGCTACAACTTCCAAAGTCTGGGCAAACCTCGAAGGCGTCTTCTTGAAGTTCACATGCCTGCGACTGGGCTCCAGCCCGCCCGCGCCGCCCCTAAGGGACCTGCTGGCCCGCCGGCCGGCGGACTCGCGCGTAGGCGTCTGCTACTGCGTCACCCGCTTCGTGGCCCGTAGGGCGCTCCACCTAAGGCCCCAGTGGCAGGGTTCGCATGCGCCCAACGGCGAATTCCGGCTGATTCCTCACACGTTTCGTGGCCCCGTAGGGAGCTCCCCTGAAGGCGATATTCACAAGCGCAGTACTCACAATTTCACATGGTTGGCTCCTTTTGCCAGGAACTGGATACTCGGTTCTTCGCTCCTCTGGGCGTCCGAGACCCCCCAAGAGGCCTTGAAGATCGTTTCGAAACCATTCGAAAGAGCTCGCAGACAGTCCAAGAAAGCCCATGACTGCCCAGGATGGCCCCAAGACGCCCCCCCGAAGCGCTTCAAATCGTGACCCGGTCGTTGGGGGGGACCGTGGCGTTGCAGCAAGGTGGCCCGAGGAAGCCCGCAAACGGCGCCCAGGAAGCTTCCAGAAGCCCCCAAGAATCCTTTTAAAAAGATGTCACAGGGCCCCGAAGAGGCTTTCAAAGGAGGAGCGTCCGCACAAAAATTGAGAAGGACGGGGAAGGGTTCGCAGGGCAAGGCGAGAACGAGGGAGAGGAAGAGGAAATATGAGGGAAGGAGAAGGAAGCAAATATGGTCACGAGGACGACGCCGAAAACGTTGCTCCCAATCTCATCACGTGTTGAGTTGGGTCCTCGCTTTGAATCAACAGCGCCCCGCGTCCTCATCCTCCCCCTTCCTCATCCTCATCCTCATCCTCGTCCTCCTCCCCCTCCTCCCCCTCCTCATCCTCATCCTCCTCCTCCTCCTCCTCCAACTTCTCCTTCCTCATCCCCCCCCTCCCTCCTCCCATCCCTGCCTCTGCCCTCCGCACGTAAAACATGTCGGCACACCCTTCACACGATTCGAGACCCCGTAGTTAGCTCCACCGAACGCCCCAGCGGCAGGGCTTGCATGGCACCGCCGCACCCATTTTGGCACACTTCTCACACGTTTCGTGGCCCCGTAAGGCGCTCCACCGAAGGCCCTAGCGGCAGGGCTCGCATGTGGCACCCGCCCCCAATTCGACACACCACTCACACAATTTGTGGCCCCATAGGGAGCTCCACCGACGGCCCCAGTGGTAGCGACCCCGCATGGCACCGCCGCACCCGTTTCGGCACACCCCTCACACGTGTCGTGGCCCCATAGGGAGCTCAACCGAAGACCCCAGTGGCAGCGCCCGCATGGCACCGCCGCACTCGTTTCGGCACACCCCTCACACGCTTCGTGACTCCATAGGTCGCTCGACCGAAAGCCCCAGTGGCAGCGCCCGCATGGAACCGCCGACCCCCATTTCGGCACACCTCTCAAACGGTTCGTGGCCCCATAGGGAGCCACCGAAAACAATGATACCGGAGAAAAACCTTTATCCGATTATTTTTTTCGGGCTATAGGACTATGAGGCTATAGGGCTATAGGACCATAGGGCTATAGGTCTGTAGGGATATGGGGCTATAGGGCTATAGGCATATAGAGCTACAGGGCTGTAGGGCTACAGGGTTGTAGGGCTATAACGCTATAAGGCTATAAGGGCTATAGGCCGATTGGGCTATAGGGCTATAGGGCTATAGTATTATTAGGGCTATAGGGCTATAAGGGTATAGGGCTATTGGGCTATAGGGCTATCGGGCTATTGGGCTATAGGGCTATAGGGCCATAGGGCTACAGGGCGATAGAGCACCCGCGCACCTGGGCACCGGGGCACCCCTGGGCACCTCCGGGCACCCCGGGGCACCCCCGGGCACCTCCAGGCACCCCCGGGCACCCCCGGGCACCTGGGCACCCGGTCTGGCCACCGAAATCGGCGACCTCACCTAACCATATGAATCTGCTAGGACCCCTACAGAGGCAAGCTCTGATTGGGGAATAGAATTCAACCCCGTGTATTCACAACTGCATATGGTTGGGTCCTTCGCCCGGATAAGTTTATATATTCCCAACCATCCTGTGGTATTGGGTTTCGGTTTTGAAGAGACAACGCCCAGCGTCACTCCCTCCTCCCCCTCCTCCCTCCTCCCATCCTTGCCTCTGTCCTGCGCATGTCGGTGCCGGCACACCCCTCAAACGTTCCGTGGCCCTATGGGGAGCTCCACCGAAGGCTCCAGCGGCAAGGTTCGCATGGCGCACAGGCCCCCGATTCGGCACACCCTTCATTTGTTTCGCAGCCACGTAGGGAGCTCCACCGAAGGCCCCAGCGACAGGGCTCGCATGGCGCACCCGCCCCCAACTCAGCACACCCTCACACGTTTCGTGGCCCCGTATGGAGCTCCACCGAAAGCCCCAGCGGCAGGGCTCGCATGGCGCACCCGCCCCCCAATCGGCACACCTCTCAAACGTTCTGTGGCCCCGTAGGGAGGTCCACCGAGGGTCCCCAGCGACAGGGTTTGCATAGCGCACCTGCCTCCGATTAGGTACACCTCTCACACGTTCCGAGGCCCCCAACTCGGCGCACCCTCACACGTTTTGGGGCCCCAAAGGGAGCTCCACCGAAGGCTCCAGCGGCAAGGTTCGCATGACGCACCCACCCCCACTTCGGCACACCAATCACACGCTTCGTGGTCCTGTACGGAGCTCCACAGAAGGCCCTAGCTGCAGGGCTCGCATGGCGCACCAGCCCCCAATTCGGCATAAACGTTTTTTGCGTCGGCGGCTAGGCAGAGTGAATGCGCTGGCGGAAAGTCGGCACACGCACACACACACACACACAGACACACACACACACACACACACACACACACACACACACACACACACACACACACACACATCACATGTTTCGTGGCCCTGTACGAAGTTCCACCGAAGGCCCCAGCGGCAGGGCTTGCATGGCACACAGGCCCCCAATTCGGCACATTTTTTGTTCTTTCGCAGCCACGAAGGGAGCTCCACCGAATGCCCCAGCGACAGGCTCGCATGGCGCACCCGCCCCCAACTCAGCACACCCTCACACGTTTCGTGGCCCCGTATGGAGCTCCACCGAAAGCCCCAGCGGCAGGGCTCGCATGGCGCACCCGCCCCCCAATCGGCGCACCTCTCAAACGTTCCGTGGCCCCGTAGGCAGGTCCACCGAGGGCCCCCAGCGACAGGGTTTGCATAGCGCACCTGTCTCCGATTAGGCACACTTCTCACACGTTCCGAGGCCCCCAACTCGGCGCACCTCCACACGTTTTGGGGCCCCAAAGGGAGCTCCACCGAAGGCTCCAGCGGCAAGGTTCGCATGACGCACCCACCTCCACTTCGGCACACCAATCACACGCTTCGTGGTCCTGTACGGAGCTCCACAGAAGGCCCTAGCTGCAGGGCTCGCATGGCGCACCCGCCCCAAATTCGGCACACGCGCTTTTTGCGTCGGCGACTAGGCAGAGTGACTGCGATTGCGGAAAGTTGGCACACACGCACACACATATCCAATGTTTCGTGGCCCTGTACGAAGTTCCACCGAAGGCCCCAGCGGCAGGGCTTGCATGGCGCACACGCCCCAATTCGGCAGACCCCTCACACGCTTCGTGGTCCCGTAGGGAACACGCTTCGTGGCCCCATAGGAAGCTTCTTTGCCCTCGTCCCATTTGCCTTGCTGTAAACACGCATGCAAGTGGTTGGGTCCGTTGCCTGGATAGTTTACCTCTCTCTCTCTCGCTCTCTCTTTCATTCCGCCCTCAAGCCGAAATTTAAGGACCAAGGTACATGGCGCGAAGAGCCAATGTGGCCCTGCATATGTATATACATTGACAAAAATCAGTATGTACACGAGCATGTATATATATAATCATACAAAAATTGTATGTATGCACACACATGTACGTTCATGTATGTATGCGTGGGTGTGTTTTGCTATCGCGGTGCATTTCGCGAGGCGCAGGTGTGAGCTGCACGTGCACACGTGTGAGTAAGCATATGCCTCACATGTGTATACATATAGAATCATATATGTATGTCTGTGCATATCGGCACACGCACTATACCCACACTGGGGATCAGGCCCCCAGGGGCATGGGCCGCGGGCTTGGATTACATCTGGGGCGCCCCTGGGTGATGTTCGGGGAGACCTGTTGCAGCGCTCTGGGGAGCCGGGCTTGCAGTTCTTAGGGCCGTCTTGGTGGTTCGCCGGCCGTCCCGGAAAGGTGGTCTGGGGGCGACTTGAGGGGCTTGGGGCTGCTTTGGGCTGATTCTGTACCGGCTTGTACTGTGCTGTCCCAGGGCTGGGGTGGTCGTGGGCCCGCCCGTGGTCTTTGGGGTTGCTTGGGGGCCTCCTGAAAGAAGCTCTGCACGACGAAGGGCGAGGCGGCAACAGCTTCAGAGAGCCCCTCGTTCGACGGCGCGTTCTTGCCTGGGGGCCCTCCTGGATGCCTTTCGGGGCGCCTCTCCGCGGGAAGGCCTCGGAGGCCATGCTGGGCCTGTCCTGGAGCCATCTCGGGGGCGCCCAGGGGCGCTTTGGGGACGGGGGGGTCTGGGCTTTCATTGTGACTCAGGTCTGGACTCTCTTCGTGACTCAGGTCTGGGCTCTCTTCGTGACCTCGGCGCCCTGCACAGGCCCCCACACCTGCGGGGGGATCCGCGTCGCAGCGCCCTCCTGCCCTGCGGCCGCAGCCGGCCCGCAGGGCACCAGCTGCTCCCCACGAGCCCCTTCTTCCAGTGCGTCGGGCCGAGCTCGAGGCCTTCGGCGCCCTGCGCGGAGCCCCCCGCAACAGCAGGGCGCCCGGTCGCTGGGCGGGCCTGGCTCGTCAGAAGCGCCCGCCTGCCCCGAGGCCGCCGCTGGCTCGGGCCACCAGCTCTTCCAGAGCAGCCCCTTCGTTTCCCCTCGTCGTCATCCCCAGGCTTCTGTTCGACCAGCGGCGAGCTGTATCTCCAGCAGGCGGTCGGCTAGACTGGGATCGGCGCCGGGGGTGCTCGGGGGGTGGGTGGGCTATCAGCGGATGCCAAGGACAATGGTATATGGCCGAACCCAGCTCATGAGTGAGTTAAATAGGCCACAACTGACTCAGGGGAGGGTGATAACTCCGCTGAGTGGGTGGAGCCCACATAGCCGGGATCGCTAGCCCCCTGAGCCTTTTGGGGCCTTTGCAACCCGCTTATTAGCTGGGTTGGGCCACATATAGCCCACCTTGGCGGGGATATGCCGACGTCAGGCTCACGTGCTCGACGCTGTCGGTGCGGGCGCAGGTGCACCGCAAATCCAGGGGTGAGGGCTTCGCCACCAGACACCCGATGTTTCGATTTTTTGTCCATACAGGGTTCCTGGAAGTCCAGGCCTTTTCCCCAGGACCAGCTTTGCATCCTGAGTCGTTTTGTTGACGGTCCGAGAGGCCCGGCGAGGGCCTTTTGGAGGCCGAAAATGGCAAAAATTGCCCGTCGCGATTCTTCAAGACGCCAGCATGTCTTCGTTCCCCTCTTTCCCGTCGTCGTCGCTCTGTCGTCCACGCCACCACCCCTTGCTTCTGGGAGGCTCGGTACGACGACCGGGACTCCAGGGCGCCCCGCTCAGCGTCGCCCCCCGCCCCGCGCCCAGCGCGGAGACCAGCGGCTGAGTGGAGAGGAAAGGCCTCGGCCAAGTTCCTCCGCCTCCTGCTCTTGCTCCTCCACTTCTACTCGTTCTCCCCCCCATCCGTCCCCCTTCTCCTTGTCTTGCTCCTTTATCTCTTGTCCTCCCCTCCTCCCTCCTCCTCCTCCTCCTCCTCCCCCTCCTCCTCCTCCCCCTCCTCCCCCTCCTCTCCTCCTCCTCCTCCTCCTCCTCCTCCTCCCCTCCTCCTCCTTCTCCTCCTCCTCCTCCTCCTCCTCCTCCTCCTCCTCCTCCGCCTCCTCCTCCTCTATCGTCCTCCTCACCATCCCTTCTACCCTTCTTCCCCGTCTCCCCACCTCTTCCAACTCCCTCCCCTTTCACATGCTTGCATCAATTGGCCCCCTTGTCCGCCTCCTCCTCCTCTCTCTGTTTCGTCCTCCCTCCCTCCATCCGTCCCTCCCTCTCCCCACTTCTCCGTCCACTCCTTCTGCGGTCCTCTGCCACCATGGAGGGCGGTCGACTAAGAAGAAAATATCCCAGCAAAGGAACCGACCATATGCAGTTGTGAGTACACCGACCGGATTGTCTTCGGTGGATTTCTCCATGCGGCCACGATATGCGCGAGGGTCATGCCGACATTAGGGGGGACGGGGGCCGGATGCGGACCGTGCCAGGGGGGCCTTCGGTTGAGCTCCTATCGGGGCCGCGAAAAGCGTGAGGGGCGTGCCGAAATGGAGAAAGCCGAATGCAAGCTGTGCCACTCGGGGCTCCATTTGGGACCACGAAGCGTGAGAGGGGTGTGCCGAAACGGGCTGACGCCCTAATGCGAACGTCCCAAATGCGAACGTCGCCCTTGGGGCCTGATGTGGAGCTCATCATGGGGCCAAGAAACGCGTGAAGGGTGTGCCGAAACGGGCGTGACGCCCACATGCGAACGTCCCAACTGGGGCCTTAAGTGGAGCTCCCCATGGGCCCACGAAGCGTGCGAGGGGTGTGCCGAAACGGGCGTGACGCCCACATGCGAACGTCGCTATTGGGGCCTGAGGTGGGGACCCCTTATGGGGCCACGGAACGCGTGAGTGGTGTGCCGAAACGGGCGTGACGCCCACATGCGAACGTCGCTATTGGGGCCTTAGGTGGGGACCCCTATGGGGCCACGGACCGCGTGAGGGGCGTGCCGAAACGGGCGTGGCGCCCGCATGCCAACGTCGCCAGTGAAGCCTTAGAGGGAGCTCCAAATGGGGCCACGAATCGCGTGAGCAGTGTGCCGAAACGTGCGCGACGCCCACATGCGAACGTCGCCTCTGGGGCCTTCGGTGGAGCCTTCTATGGAGGCCGCGAAATGCGCGAGTGGCATGTCGAAACGGTCGCGACGCCCACATGCGAGCGTCGCCACTGACAGGTGGAGCTCCCTACGGGGCCACGAAACGTGTGAGTGGTGTGCCAACATAGACATGCGGAGGCCAGAAGCAAGGATGTGAGAACGGAGCAGGGCAACGGGTGGGAGACGCGGGGCGCTGCCTCTTCAAAACGAGGACCCAACGCCACAGGATGCTTGGGAATGACCGTCGTCAAACTTCGATAGGGCCCCGTGCCGTGGCACAGGGGCCGACAACTCAGCGGTCCTGGGATATCTTCCTCTTCCCACCTCCTCGTCTTCCTCCTCTTCCTCTTCCTCTTCCTCTTTCGCCAACGGCATCCAGTTCTTCAAGGACGTAGTGCTGGTGGACGCGGAGGCGCGTCGTCTCAGCACGCAGCCGCCCGCCAACACAAGCGTGCCCGCTTCCGCCAGCATGGACATCGCGGCCGCTTTCCCCAGCATCGTCCACCTGTGGATGTGGACGGTCCTGGGGCGTTTGGGCATCCAACGCGACACGATGCGATTGTTCCACGCTTGCTACAACATGCCGCTCGCCTACCTGGATATCGGCGAGGCGCCCCCTGCCCTTCGCGGTCTCCGGGCGTGGCCCGGGGATGTCCGCTTGGCGACACCGTATGGGCGTTTACTTTCGACCCGCTCGAGCGCGCCATCGGCCAGGAGTTGCGCAAGCTGCACAAAGGGCTGGTCAGCGCCTGTGCCGGCAACCTGGGTACCATCTTCGCCATGCCACACGACATCGCCAAGGCCGCCCCGAAATTGATAGTTGTCGACATCTTTGTTGACCTCAAGCTCCAGACCAAGAAACGAATTATCGTCCCGACGCAATCGCCTCCGAATGCCTTGCTGATGCGGGAGAGGCGTTAGACTCCCGCATCGATACACCCACTTGGCCGTGGTTTCAAAATCGAGGCGATGGCCCGCTACCTGGGATTAGGTGAGGACCTGGTGCTGTTCTCGCTGACCAATGGAGGAGCCGCTCCACCAAGCCGTGGGCCCGCATCGAGAAGATCGCCGTCTCCCTCGCGCCCCTCCAGCATAGCACCAAGATCTACAACGTCGCCGCCGTCACCAGCCTGTCCGATGTCGGCCAGCTATACGAGGGCTTCAGCAGGATGCTGGCCAAGGGGCTGCAGGCTAGCCACAAGCTGCTTCGCGTAGCCCCCAACAGATTCGCCAAGCCGGACGTCTGGGCAATGACAGCCTGGACCAACACCTAGACCCCCAACGACATCGAAACCCTGATGGCCGCAAACATGTGGCGCACTGCGGCGAGTACGGTCACAGATTGGCGCACCCCCATACCGCACGCGACACAGCCCTCCTTGAGTTCAGCCTCATCGATGCCAGTACTTGTTGGTGCTGCACCAGCTGCGGGAAGGACACGACCTCGAGCGTTTAGACTTTGGTTGGAGCGAGGGCCCCGTCTTCGTGCGCATCACGAGAGCAAACAAAGCATTGCCCAGGGCTCGCACCACGCTCCATTACGCCCACCAGCACGCCGCGAGCAAGGGCACCACGGCAGCCCTCAACCGCCACGAGAACGAGATCGGCAGTCCGAGGGCAACCCGCACACCTCAGAAGGCAGACCTGCGCGACATGCAGGAACGGCTCCTCTCTGACACGATGCCGCTGGCCATCCGCCGCCACGTTTTTCCTTGGTTCCTCGCCCTGGGCCCGAACGCACAGCTCACAAGGCCTCCGCCACACCCTGGTCGATCTCTTGCTGAAGAAGTTCAAGGGCGCCCCCTGCTACGCGCCACTGCGCGGGCTGCCCACAGGAGCCCTGATTCGCTGCCAGAAGACCGCAACATCAACAACGAGCAGGACAGGATCGATTGGTGCGCGGAGTAGTTGCACGACGTGCTCTTTCGCTACAACCTCGAGGCATTCTAATCGACACCAGAACGCCGTCGCATCGCACGGGACAAGTGCACCCAGGCGCGGCAAACCAGACTGCTCAGCCGCAGTACTTTCGAGCTGCGCTTGCAGGGGTCCGCGGGCATTGACCCGAGCGCCCGTCGCATCCAAACTCCCCGTCGAGCTGAAGGAGCCGGTCATCATCGCGCCCGCCGCTTCTGGGTAGAGTCGCAGCTCGCGGGCCTCGCCCCTCCTGAACCCGCACCCGAGATGCCCGACAGCTCCGAGGAGGAGCCGCCGCTGAGCCTGCCGGGCATATAACGCCTCCCTGATGATCTCCAAGCGCGATGGATCCGCCCCCGCGCGCATTTGGCCACGCTGCCGCCCGCGCGGGCCGGGGCGGCGTTGAAGATGTTCGCGGGCGGGCGGGCGACCCACCGCGCGCACGCGCCACAGAGCAAGAGGAGCCGCAACTTCGGGCGCGAAGCGGCGGGCGAGATTCAGCACTACACGGCGGGCCCGCGGACGCGGCGCCAGCTGAGCCTCCCGCGCGGACAGCTGACTGCTGAGCTGTCAGTGCGCCTTTCGCCCCCGACCACGGACTCAACGGAATCCCCAGCTCCGCGGCCAGGATGGGGGTCGCGAGGCGCGGCATCCTCCTGTCATGCACACCAAGCACGTAAAAGCCGCGACCGCCGCTCGACACGCCTTGAGGCTCGCCCCTGAGTTGGCGGCGGCGCGCGGCCGCGGCGCGGCTAACCGCGGGTCGACCACTTCCGAGGCTTCGCGGCCCCATCCCTTCCTTCTTCCCGCCTAGCCATCCCACCGCTCAATCTCCCCGAGTAAGTCGCGCAACGCGCGAGCCTCCCATTTAGGACCCGCATGCTCCCACGCCACAGGCTTGGGCTCATCATTTTGGTAAATTGGCGCAGGTGGGTTGAGCGCGTCGGAGGGCAATTAGTCATCGACGCTCAGGTTACGACGAGCAGCACGGCGCGACCCCGCATGGCCCAGAGCGAAGCCCGTCAGCGGGCCCCGCCCCGCGGTCGACATCCACCCGCCAGCGCGAGCCATGGGCGACCCGTTCGTTGCGCTGCCTTTTGTCGGTGGGGATGGGCGCGGGGGCGCACCGCCAGGTGCGAGACGCGGCGCGCCGTTGCCCCAGGCGAAGAGGAGGGCCTTTCTCGAAGGCGCGCTGATGAGCGCGGGGCTGCGGCGCAAGGGCAAGAGGTTCGCCGCGCGTTCGCGATTGCCTTCGCAAAGGCGCCCGCTGCGCGGACCTCACCCTCGGGCCCGCGAAGTGCGTGGCAGTGCCCAACTGGGCCAGGCTTTATGAGAAGCAGATGCCGCTGGCCCGCACGGCCCCACGCCGCGGCGGACTCCTCGCAGTCGGACTTCGGGGGGCGCGCGCGCGCGCGCACGCACGCGCGGAGGATCTGCCCTGCGGCGGCGGGGGCGCAGCGGGGAGGCCCGCTGAAGAGGCGGAGGGGCCTCATGGATAGCGTCGCCCAGAGAGTCGCCCGTCGGATTCGCTCCCTGCCCACTCCAAGTTGCACCCCTCGAGCCGAATGTGGGTCGCGGACGAGCGACTCTTCCGCGCGGTCCTCACGCGGCGCGCAGTCAGGCCCGTGACGGCGCCGATGCTGATCACGCCGATGAGGATAATGCCGTCCACGCGTGGGCGATGAAGGTTTTGGAAGGGTTTCGACATCGCGCGCGGCCGACGGGCGCGAGTGGCCCGCATGTTGTTTCCCAACCATCCTGTGGTGTTGGGTCCTTGTTTTGAAGAGACGGTGCGGCGCGTCTCCTCCTTCCTCCTCTCCTCCTCCTCCCTCCGCCCGCCCGCCATCCCATCCCATCCCATCCCATCCCATCCCATCCCATCCCATCCCATCCCATCCCATCCCTCCCTCCCTCCCTCCCTCCCTCCCTCCCTCCCTCCCCCCTTCCTCCCCCTCCTTGCCTCTGCCCTCCGCATGTCTCCGTTTCGGCACACCCCTCACGCGTTTCGCGGCCCCACAGGGAGCTCCACCGAAGGCCCCAGTGGCAGGGTTCGCATGGCACCACCGAGCCCATTCTGGCGCACCCCTCACACAGTTCGTGGCCCCATGGGGAGCTCCACCGAAGGCCCCAGTGGCAGGGTTCGCATGGCACCACCGCCCCATTCTGGCACACCCTTCACACGGTTCGTGGCCTCATAGGGAGCTTCGCCGAAGGCTTTTGTGGCAGGGTTCGCATGGCACCACCGCCCCAGTCTGGTGCACCCCTCACACGGCTCGGGGTCCCACAGGGAGCTCCACCGAAGGCCCCAGTGGCAGGCTCAGGGTTCGCATGGCGGCCCCGCCCCATTTTGGCGCACCCCGCACACGGTTCGTGGCCCCATTGGGAGCTCCACCGAAGGCCCCAGCGGCAGGTTTCGCATGGCACCACCGCTCCATTGTGGCGCACCCCTCACACAGTTCGTGGCCCCATAGGGAGCTCCACCGGAGGCCCCAGTGGCCCCCTTCTGGCGCACCCCCCCCCCGCACGGTTCGTGGCCCCACAGGGAGCTCCACCGAAGGCCCGAGTGGCAAGGTTCGCATGGCACCACCGCCACATTCTGGCGCACCCCTCACACGGTTCGTGGCCCCATAGGGAGCTCCACCGAAGTCCCCAGAGGCAGGGTTTGCATGGCGGCCCCGCGCCATTTTGGCGCACCCCTCACACGGTTCGTGGCCCCATAGGGAATTCCACAGAAGGATTCAGCGGCAGGGTTCACATGGCACCATCGCCCCATCTTGGCGCACCCTTCACACGGTTCGTGGCCCCATAGGGAGCTCCGCCCAAGGGCCCATTGACCGGGCTCACATGGCACCACCGCCCAATTCTGGCGCACCCTTCACATGGTTCGTGGCCCCACAAGGACCTCCACCGAAGGCCCCAGTGGCAGGGTTCGCATGGCGGCCCCGCCACAGTTTGGCGTACCCCTCACACGGTTCGTGGCCCCATAGGGAATTCCACAGAAGGATTCAGCGGCAGGGTTCACATGGCACCATCGCCCCATCTTGGCGCACCCTTCACACGGTTCGTGGCCCCATAGGGAGCTCCGCCCAAGGGCCCATTGACCGGGCTCACATGGCACCACCGCCCAATTCTGGCGCACCCTTCACATGGTTCGTGGCCCCATAGGGGGAGCTCCACCGGAGGCCCCAGTGGCAGGGTTCGTATAGCACCACCGCGCCATTCTCGCGTCATCCCCCCCTCCCGGTTCGTGGCCTCATAGGGAGTTCCACCGAAGGCCCCAGTGGCAGGGTTCGCATGGCACCGCCGCTTCGATTTCGGCACACCAGTCACACGGTTCGTGGCCCCACAGGGAGATCCACTGAAGGCCCCAGTGGGATGGTTTGTACCGCGCTCAGCGTCACGGGAATTCAGAGTTTGGAAAGTTGTCATTATCGCAAAGTTTCGGAGCGTCGTTGTCAGCGGCATTTGTTCCCAACCATCATGTGGTGTTGGGTCCTCGTTTTCAGGAGACAGCGCCTGCGTTTTCCTTTTTTCCGTCTCCTCCCGATGCCTCCCCTCCCCCCCCCTTCCTCCCTTACGCTTCATCAACCCAGTACAGCGTTTCGTGGCCCCATCGGGAGCTTCACCGAAGGCCTCAATGGCAGGGTTCGCATGGCGGCCCCGCTCCATTTTGGCGCACCCTCACACGGTTCGTGGGCCCATAGGGAGCTCCACCGAAGGCCCCAGTGGCTGGCCCCATAGAGACCTCCACCACCGAATGCCCCAGTGGCAGGGTTCGCATGGCGGCCCCGCCCCATTTTGGCGCACCCCTCACACGGTTCGTGGCCCCCTAGGGAATTCCTCCGAAGGCCCCAGTGGCAGGGTTCACATGGCGGCCCCGCCCCATTTTGGCGCAACATTCACACGGCTCGTGGCCCCACAGATCTCCACCGAAGGCCCCAGTGGCAGGGTTCGCATGGCGACCCCGCGCCATTTTGGCGCACCCGCACACGGTTCGTGGCCCCATAGAGAGCTCCACCGAAGGCCCCAGTGGCAGGGTCGCATGGCCGCCCCGCGCCATTTTGGCGCATCCCTCACACGGTTCGTGGCCCCACAAGGACCTCCACCGAAGGCCCCAGTGGCAGGGTTCGCATGGCGGCCCCGCCACAGTTTGGCGCACCCCCTCACACGGTTCGTGGCCCCATAGGGAGTTCCACCGAAGGCCCCAGTGGCAGGGCTCGCATGGCGGACCAGCCCCATTGTGGCGCATCCCTCACACGCTTCGTGGCCCCATAAGGAGCTCCACCGAAGGCCCCAGTGGCAGGGTTCGCACGGCGGCCCCGCCCCATCTTGGCGCACCCCTCACACGGTTCATGGCCCCCAGGGAGTTCCACAGAAAGCCCCAGTTGCAGGGTTCGCATGGCGGACCAGCCCCATTGTGGCGTATCCCTCACACGTTCGGTGGCCCCATAGGGAGCTCCACCGAAGGCCCGAGTGGCAAGGTTCGCATGGCGGCCCCATTTTGGCGCACCCCTCACACGGTTCGTGGCCCCACCGAGCTCCACCGAAAGCCCCAGTGGCAGGGTTCGCATGGCGGCCCCGCCCCATTTTGGCGCACCCTTGCGGTTCTCACACTTGCACATGGTTGGGTCCTTCGCCTGGATAATTTTTGTTTGCGGTCGTGCCCCCACACACACACACACACACCACCGCGGCAGGCGCGCAGGGCTTGCGAATGATTTCGACACGCGCGCGCGACAGGCCCGTTCGGTCGCACGTGAATCACAGGTTGGACAACTGGTGATGTTCTTGAGAATTCGTCGCAAGAGCGCGCGCGAAGATGTTTTTGAAAAGTCACGCTACAATACCATGTGAAATTCATATGGTGTCGGGGCACTCGATTTTGAAATCCCCGCGAAACCTAAGGTCGTTGACGGATTTCGTCATGCGCGCGACGACGCGCGCTTGTGCACATCGCCCCATATGTTGCAAAGGACTACTGTCAATGTACG